ACCCGCTTCCCAACCCCAGCCCGGCTTTCTCCCTCCCCCCCAACAAAAGAGGCATTATTTTGTAACAACAGATTAAAGAGATGTGGGGGGAGGGAACCATCTTTGGGGGGAGGGTCCTCAAAGCTGAATCAGGAGTGACTTTGGAAGCGAGGAGGAAGGAGCAATGTGGTCCAGCACTGTATGGCTTGGAATGTGTAAGAAATGGGCAGAGAAAAGGCGGGGGGATAAGCAGTCCTAGGGATGCTTGGGGAAGGGATCCCACATCCAAGCGGATGGGGTTGGGTCCTCCACTGGGGTCTGGAAGGGGTTCTCCACTGGGTTCTTGCACTCTCACATCACCTCCCTGACCCTGAGGCCCAGGAGGCATTCTTGTATCTGCAGAAGGCCTTCAGGGATGAGATGCAGGGATGAAAAAGGGAGGGGAACCGGCAAGTGACAGCTTCTGGATGACCTGGAATGATCTTGAAAAAGCTACCCAGGTTAGTATTTGGATGGAAGATCACCAGGAAACCCTAGGAATGAAAGTGGCTAAGGCAACCCCCTAGAGCAGTGTTTCTCAACCTTGGCCACTTTAAGAGGTGTGGACTTCAACTCCCAGAATTCCCAGCCACCACTTTAAGAGGTGTGGACTTCAACTCCCAGAATTCCCCAGGCTCCTTTAAGAAGTCCACACCTCTTAAAGAAGCCAAGGTTGAGAAACACTGAAATAAACTGTAGGCTAGTATAATGCGTGAACACGCCAAATTCTGAAGCAGTAGCCATTTTGAATCATAGGACCAAAGATAATTCACACTGACCTCATACTGTCCTGCTGGTGTTATCTGAAGTGACTACTTGAAACCTGATCTAGATTTCTCTGACATGGCTTGTGCTAAGGAGAAACACAGCTGAATCATACTCATGAATTAAAAGTACCACATTTGAGTTGTGAATCACCCCCAGAAGAGTCATCTTCCTATCTGCTAACTATCCTCCTTTACTAAGGGACGGGCCCCACTTTCTGTCACAGGGAGGGAATGCTGGCTGGGGAATTCTGGGAGTTGAAGTCCACACATCTTAAAGTGGCCAAGGTTGAGAAACCCTGCCCTAGAGCCTTGTCTCTAAGAAAAGTACGCAGGCTTGTCCCACAATTCTGAACCAGGCCTGGTTTCATGAGAATTCTTCTGGATTGGGGTTTGGACTTTGTAGTCTTGACAGCTGGACTCAAGGGATACTATTTTACTTTGGGAACGAGTAAGTCAGCTGCACGTTCAAGTGATCGGAAAGAAAAATAGAAAGACAAGCCAATCTTCCAATGCGTAGAACCATAAAGACACAAGACTGAAAGTGAAAGTAGCCCCAGGCTGGGGAAAAGGCTGCCAGGTTTGACGGAAATCCACTCAGTTTTTATTTCTCCCCAGCTGAAGGCACATATGTCAACTTTCTAACTTTGCCTGCCGTGGGCATCTTGGACCATTCTCCCCTTCCAGTAACATCTAGGAATGCTCGCTGTAGGTCGCAGCATTATCCCACTAAATTTTCCCCACCCACACCAGCTTTCAGCAGAGCACAGGGTGGGTGGGGAATCATGCAGTGGGGCAAAACAGCATCGGGTTAGACTTCAGTTGTTGCACAAGAGAAGTTCCAGGGTGAGATGTTCTTTTCCCCAGTAATCTGTGGCTTGTATGACATGAGAACTAATTCTGAATCTAGAGTATACGTGCAACAGAATGAACCTTCGATGTGATAGAAATGAGTAACAGTGAGGAAGGGTTAGCTACTTTATGTATGGGCTGGACTAAAAGCACTGAGGCACTGATCATAGCAGCACACAAACAGGCACTAAGCACCAGATCCATAGAAGCAGGGTTCTACCACACTGGGCAAGGCCTTAGAGACAGTCCAACACATAGTGGCAGGGTGTAAGATGCAGGCAGGAACAACATACACTGAACAGCACAACCAAGTAGCTGGCATCGTGTACAGGAACTTCTGCACAGTGCATGGGCTAGACCCCCTCGAGTTCAAATGGGAGAGTCCACAGAAGGTCATGGAGAATAACAGGGCTAAGTTCAGATCCAGACAGACAGGCAGGCCAGTCAACCAGACATCATGGTAGTAGACAAGGACCAGAAGACAGCGGTGGTTGATGGACGGCAACCTCAGGAAGAAGGAGTATGAGAAGCTGGAGAAGTTACCAGGGCCGGAAGGAGGAACTAGAGAGGAGGTGGAAAGTCAAGGCCAAAGTGGTCCTAGTGGGGGTAGGATCCCAGGAACAACATCAGGGCTCTCTGTCCAGAAGAGTGCAGTGCTAGGAACAGCTCAGATCCTGTGCAGAACCCTCAAACTCCCTGGCCTCTGGTACAAGAGCCAAGATTGAGGAAGACTCGTAGGGATTGGGGCGGGGGGCGAGGAGAGAGAATTTTTATTGAAGAAAAAAATGTTACGTACAAAGTTAAAAGCTACAAAAAAGTAAAAGAAAAGAAAATAGGGAAAAGAAAAGACTGTAAAAGAATAGAAAAGATAGTAAAGTAGAAGAGAAAGTGAACAAACAAAAAGAAGGGGAAAAAAAGAAGGACTAGTTAAAGAACTTCTTCTTTGCAGCAGTTAGAAACATAATTAACTCTATTTCCTCCCTCCCAAATTCCTGGAAGGGGTCACTACTTTTTAAAAGGCGTCCTTTCGTTCAAAAGCCCTTGCTGATAACAGACTAACACATCAAGGTTCAGTGTAATAATATTCTTGATGTATTGATTTTCTGCATGCAGGGAGGTTTCAAAAACCAAACCAAACCAATGGACCCCTCAGCAGAATCTAATTCCTCCCTTTGCTACTGGAAGTATGGCCCAGGTCAGGATTTTACTACCTCCTTGGACCACCTTTTTCTGAATGTGTAAAATGCTTTTTAAAGTTAGCTCTCTCCTTCCTAGGTCCTGGAGGCCCAGCCCATCTACGCTCCTGAAATCAGAAACACCAGCCTTCCAAAGGGCTAATCCAGAATCAGAGGAAAGGGAAGGAACGTCAGCAGCTGTGGGACAATCTGGTTTTTTATAACCAAACTCTCAACTGCCTGAGACCGAATGCGATGTTCCAAAACGGCCGAGGCACAAGGGTGTCAGATGGGGCAGGATGTGAAACACTGTGTGCCGCAGATTGCTGGCGCCAGGGAGGTGATTCACCACACGCCTGCATCTCAAGGTTCAGATTGGATGTCAGGCTGCATCAAGGAATTTTGAAAAAAAAAAAAT